ACTAATTATGATTTTTTAGAGCTTAAATCTTGAAATTCTAAACACTAAAAATTTTTTTGACCCCTAAAACCCTTTAAACCATCAAAACTAAACTATAATACAAGATAGTTAACCCAAACATAAATGAGATAAATAATAAATAATTTTTAAAAAATGGTATTTTTGTAAAGATTGTAAAAAAATGGTATTTTTGTAAATTGATATTTGAAAAGTGGCAATTTTTTTTAAATTTCTCAAAAATAATATATAGTTTATTTTAAACAGTTGTAGAAGTCAAATTATTATGACCTTGCTAAGCTTACCGGATGGTGAACCGAACTTCCGGTTCGGGTTCTGTTCATAGTACAAGATACCGTACCGATATTCTAAATTAAGAAAACAAAGAATCGAACTCATCGGTCTGGCGAAGAGATGATTGCTTCACAAGGAGGAGCTGTTGATGGGGTCAACCTCGCTTCTTGATTGGGTGGAAATTGCTTTCACAATAATTAATTTTTCCCTTTTTTCTCCGAAATTATTTCATTTATGTACCAAAAGAATGTTAAAAGATAACTTAGTTTATGTTCGTATATTATTGTCAATAGACAATAGTGAGGAAAAAGTAATTATACTCGAGTCCAATTAGCGTAGTTTGCATAAATTATTACAACTCACAGTTGATGTTGACAAAATAAAACTTTATTTACAGTTGGAAAAATAAATGTTTATTACAATTTCTTATATATTGTCCTGGTCTTTCCCCGCAAGTGCCTGGGAAAATATAACATGGACAAGACAACAATAACTGGAAATATTGTTCAAATAGTTATATATACTTTATAATATGTAAATTATATACTCCATGCTTTAACATATTTAAATGCGATTAGAAAACAAGGGAATATATAGATGCATATGATATAATCACAGATAAAATTAGATATACTTTGTTGGGTTTGAACTGTAGATCTAATCTACTCTTAAATCGGACTATGCACTCCAGATGACTTTGATACGAGTCATTGAAACAGGTCATGATGACTCATATTTAGAATTCGGACAATACCTTATTTGCTCAAATTAAAAATCTATTTGTTATTAGCTGATGAAAAAATTATTTATGATTATTTGTTATCGTCATTTAAAAGAAAAAAAACAGTAACTCTATACTTTGCTCTTGTTAAAAAAAAAAAACTCTATAATTTTCAATAAACAACTTAATTTACAATATTTTAGAGGGACAATTACAAAAATACCATTTTTTGTATGCACATTTGCAAAAATGTTATTTGGAGGTGTCCATTTACAAAAATGCCACTAATTATAAATTTATAAAGCCTATATCTTAAAATTCTAAACCCTACAAAATTTATAAAACCTATATTTTAAAAATTAGGGCTTAAAATATTTGAAAAAGAAATTTCTACCACATTAAAAATGTGCTTGACCAACAGTTTGAGCCATATGTGGTAAAATAGCACTTTTGTGTGCACATTTGCAAAAATGTCATTTAGGGGTGTCCATTTACAAAAATGTCACTAATTATAGATTTATAAAACCTATATCTTAAAATTCTAAACCCTAAAAAATTTATAAAGCCTATATTTTAAAAATTAGAGCTTAAAATATTTGAAAAAGAAATTTCTACCACATTAAAAATGTGCTTGACAAATAGTTTGAGCCATATGTGGTAAAATAGCACTTTTGTGAAGACTGAAATCCTGTATTTGATATACACATGAACTTTGATCAAAAAAAAATATATATATATACACATGAACCCTGAATTGAATTCGTCTCTTAAATCAGATGCCTAGTAAGTTCCACTAATTCAACATTGTGAAGTATTCACTAAATCGCAAGTCATTTCGTAGACTTATCGTTATGAACAAGTGATTAAATTATCTTGCTTGGTTTCAAATCATTCTACAAGTCACCTAGTTCCAATCTGATTTCAACGTTGAAAAATCCGTAGGATGCCATATACCATAATCGTCCTACAAATATTATGACTATATTTTATGTTGCAGAGATAAAATAGAGATGGTGCAATGCATATAGCAGAAACTAATACGGAACACATCAAATAGTAACGACATTATTTCGTACACATACGTGTAATATATATGTAATAAGTATAAAATAAAATTTCATTCTATTTGACCTGATCTACACTTTTTCACTTATACCTTGTTGTCTCCATTTGAAACCTTGAAACCTTGGTCTCTAACAAACGGATCAATGAAGCGAGGAGGTCTTACCTTCGACGGATAATAATTTAGAATTCAACATGTAGAAATGTAATATCTATCCAGAAAATCATGCTCGAATAATATTTTTCTTGGTTAGATATTCATTTTTCTTCAACCAATTTAATTTCAACTAGTTTTTTTTGTTGCTTTTTGGTTTTTTAGGAAAATCGATCTTACACACATAAAAGATCTGTGTGTAGGCCTCGTTGTTTTTTCGTTGTTGTTTTTCTCTGGGGTTTGGCCACAATGGTTTGATACTCTCCTTTATGAATTATCAATGAACAATTTCAGATGAAAATAAAAATAAAAATAAAACATGTGTGTATCCCAGAACATGGCAATATATTGTTCAATAATGATGTTATTTGAAGAGATGGATATTATTTACAAGTGGACTATTCAATGC